CAGCGTGTATTCTACGACTACAGTGCTTCTGACTGCGTTTTGTAATTACCGTCGTCGCCACCGTTAGCAGAGACTCGCTGGAAAATACACCGTTATCACGCAAAGACCCGTTTTCATCTAGTTTAAAGAAACTGTATGTAGGTAGGGCTGTGTCCGATCGCCAGTATATTATTTGCGTCCGTTGTTTGTTATGTACGTTTGTCTCTTAGTTTTATGCATGCATGCAAGATTCTATGTTAGACAATTATTTACATTATCGATTTAGGCATTTCCCCGTAATAGTATAACGTAATCCACTACCCCTTTATAGAGGGTTTGGCATTTCTTGCCTACCCTTTTCCCGTGTGGAAATATTACAATATTATTACTGAATTATATTTCTAGTGTTATATTTTTGTGTAACAAAACAACGTGTACCCCACTACCCCTTGTAACTGGTCAGGCATTTCCTGCCCATCTTTTAGGTGTGTGGAATAAAGTACGTTGTTTAAGCCTTACTCGTGTAGCGTGTACTTGTTGTTTATGTCGCATATAAATTATACAACTGTCCTAAGTTTCGAATTATTAAAGGACCCAGTTCACAGGGGTGTTATGGGTGTCATTTGTTTGGGACAATTTGAAACCTTAGTTCAACCCAACTAGCACCCTGTGACAGTGTCGCATAAATAAAGTATTTGCTTATTCATCAATGCTTTGATAAAATAAAGAAATAATAAAATGATAATAAAAAATAAAACACTAAAATAAAATAAAAACTTGACTTTGCTGACAAAATAGAAACTACACATCTCTGTACAATCTGGGTCAGAAGTTCAAATTTTCTTCTTAATCAAGAAATAATATCTCCTTTGCATAGATTTCACCAAATTATTGGTGATGTAAAATATCAGCTGATTTGCATTATATCTTGCACTGATTTGAATAAAAAACAATTACCCTATTTCCAAATAAACAGAACTTAGTAGAAATAAATATTTGTACTTTACCAACAAATCGGAACTATGCGTCCCTTTTAGAATCTAGATCTGAAGTTTACACTGTGTGAATTTAATTATAGTCGCAAGACACGTTCGTAGACGCACTGTCATTCGAACAAACGGGGAATCAATGACAAGACATGGTTGGCTCTCCGAATTTTGAACCAATTTCTTTTAATGTTTTATTTTTTTTGAACACAGATATCTGGTAATTACTCTTTTTATCAATTGACTAGATGAACCTGTTTATATTCTGACAGAACAAAAGATGTTTTAATAGCACGTGACCAAATTAATAGCTAATTAGTGAATTAAAAACTAATTTGTGAAACCTCATCTTCTGCGGGGCTCTGAGGAGCTCTGGGATACCAGGCCGGAAACCGATGGTTTGATTTTAATCACCTCCTTTAATCAGGTGATCCTGTCTGTTATAATATGTATAGTGGGTATTTATTGTGACAGTCTTCACTTTAGGGTATTAAAGTAAAAATGTCATTACAATAGTTATATAAAGACAGTATTACTTTTCAGGGACACTAAGTCTTAAAGTTTACGAATGTTGCAATGATCTAATATTTAAATTTGAAATCAGTGAATAAACACTAAAACAAATTTAAATGTAATAATAATAACACATCAAATAATTTGTTTGCAGTGTACCTTTCTCTCATCTCCATCTTTGAGTAAATTGAGTCCACTTCTACGACCCACCGACTCATTCATTTTGGGTCCTGTGATGGCAACATCTGGTGGCGGTGAGACACTGCGTCCTTCAGGATTCACCCATGTGTACTTTTGTTGTGAAACAAATGATCCTGGAACTCTCCCTACAGACTTTACCAGTAGTGATAATGTCGCAGACACTCTTAGTATCTAACAATCAAAACACAAGATTTAGGTTATACACAAGTACAACAGAACACTGACAATAAAATAGTTATGTACTATGATACACAAAGTTATTATCATTCTGAAAACAAGTTAGATAATAAATATTTCTTAAAAAAACATATAATTATTGTAATAAATTGTAACACATGTACCCTGGTTTCTGGATACAAATGTATTGTTATGCAAATTGGAATACTTGGTCATTTGAATATTAACTTTTCAAGGTACATGTATACATTGGTTGACTCCAGGTTAAATCCCCAATAACTGAGTGTTGAGTTGTATGTGACTTCTGTGTAATCACATGCAGCAATTCAATACTATTAACACACATTAAATAAAAATACCCCAATTCAGCAGTTGTACAACTATTTTAGCAAACATTCAAAGAGACTTGTATAGGGAAAAGATTTACACATGGAGTTCTATTGTAATTGTTACTACCGGTACTTCTAATTACATCAAGGATGATGAACATAACTACTATGGTATGTATTCAGTATATGAAATCTGACAGTTCACTAATTCTATAACCAAATATTGATATCAGAATTAATTGTGAAATTATAATTTTTGAAATGACAAATTGCTTTTCTAATTACTATGGCAACTTTAGTGCTGATTATTTTCACTCTGTTAAGGTGACATTAACAACTCCCTAGGCAACATATGATGAGTTGTTGTAGCTTTTCCTAAGTGATAAATTGTATCTAGAAACAATGTTTTGTTTTCTTGCAATAATTTGGTGTTTAACCTTAATTCAA